ACTACCTTAAAAACTATTATGGAAAAAAATGTTTGCAAAAGACGTATCTGATAAAGTATTGTTATCCAAAATATACAAAGAACTCTCAAAAAATCAGCAATAAGAAAGCCCACAACCCAATTAAAAAATAGGCAAAAGGTCTGAACAGACACCTCACCAAAGAAGGTATACAGATGGCCAGTAAGCATATGAAAAGGTGCTCAACGTCATGTGTCATTAGAAGACTGCAAATTAAAACAACAATGAGATACCACTACACACCTATTAGAATGGCCAAAATCTGGAACACTGGCAACACCAAATGTTGACAAGCATTTGGAGCGATAGGAAATCTCACTTATTGCTGGTGGGAATGCAAAACAATATGAGACAGTTTGGCAGTTTCTTACAAAAGTAAACATAATCCTACCATATGATCTAACAATCATGCTCCTTGGTATTTAGCCAGATGAGTGGAAAACATATGTCCACACAAAAACCTACACGTGGATGCTTATAGTATAACTGCCAAAACTGGGAAGCAACCAAGATGTCCTACAAGCAGGTGAGTCAATAAGTAAACCATGGTACATCCAGACAATGGAATCCAGAACTAAAAAGAAATGAGCTGTCACACTTAAATGCATATTACTGAGTGAAAGAAGCCAATCTGAAGAGACTATATATTGTATGATTCCAACTATATGACGCTCTGGAAAAAGTAAAACCATGGAGACGGTAAAAAAGATCAGTAGTTTTCAGGGGTCGAGGAGAGGGAGGGAAGGGATGAATAAGCCAAGCACAGAGGATTTTTAGGGCAATGAAACTACTCTGTATGATCCTATACTGACGGATACATGTTGTTATACATTTGTCAAAACCCATAGAATGTACAATGCCAAGAGTTGTAAAGCTGTGGACTTTGGGTGGTGTATAAATGTAGGTTATCGATTGTAACGATGTACCTCTCCAGTATAGGATTTTGATAGTGGTGAGGCTATGCATATGGAAAGGAGAGGGTATGGATCTCTGGATCTTTCACTTAGTTTTGCTGTGAATCTAAAACTGCTCTTAAAAATAAATTCCTGGGTTTTTATGTTCATTCAAAGAAAGAAAAAGACCAGTCTTTCTCTGGGCTCCCTTAACAATCTTTTATCCCCTCATCAGATCACTAACTATGTTAGACTAACTGCATTTGTTTGCCTGATCCTCTTCCCCAGTAGACTACGACCTTCTCTAGAACATAGATTATGGGTTGTGAGCATGGCCTTAGTTTAGAAGCTGGGATGGACTAGTGATGGAAATGGAACAAATGAAAAAAAACATGACTAGTGGCAAAGTTGTTTCTACTGCTTCCAGGATTCATACAACACTGAACCAATATTTATCAAGAATGAGGCATAATATTAGGGGAAGAGAGAAATAGCAAACAGGACTGAAATAGTAGTGTGTGTGAGTGTGTGCATGTGTGTGCGTATGTGTGCATGTGTATTT